TAGCCTTCACCTTAATGTATTCCATCCAGAAGCTAGTTGGAAATTTAAAATTAGATTGGAAATAGTCAAATGAGAGGAATTTGTTATTTACATGGATCTTATTCCCTAAACTGCGAGCTTTTGTAGACATGACTGTAAGCTTATCATTTTTTAACACACTTGCTACAGGCACCTTCTGTCCTTGTTTTGGGGGGCAATTGGATTGATGTTTTATCACCCTTTTGCCCCCCACCCCTCCTAGTTTAAATACGTCCTAGCAAAACCTCTAAACTGCTCACTGAGAACATTTGTTCCCTTTTGAGAAAGATGCAAACCATCTTTTTTGTACAGCTTATTTCCATTCCAAACAGAGCTACCATGAGAAATAAAGCCAAATCCTTGCTCCCAACACCATTCACCAAGCCACAAATTAAAGTCCCTAATACGCATCCGCCTGTCGTTCTGAGTGTTTTGCACAGGCAGAACTTCAGAGAATGACAGTGTGGAAGCAACATGCCGTATATCATTGGCAAAAACACTAAAAACTTTCTTAACCTCTGAAACCTCATTGCAAGCCAAGTCATTTGTCCCTAGATGGACAAGTACATCCAATTCCCCTTCCTGCTTTGCTTGCTTAACAATATTACAAATACGTCTCCTGTCTCTGTGAGCAGCATCCCCGGGAAGACATCATGCAAGACCACCATTGTCCATCTCCACACCTCTTATGATGGAATCCCCCAACAACAACTGCTTTCTATTAGGCCTCACCATAGTCTTCAAGCCTGTCGCCATAATACCACTACCCTCAGTGCCTGAGCCTGTCTCCACAGCACCACTACCCTCAGTGCCTGAGCCGGTCTCCACAACACCACTACCCTCAGTGCCTGAGCTTTTCTCCACAACACCACTACCCTCAGTGCCTGAGCCTGTCTCCACAACACCACTGCCCTCAGTGCCTGAGCCGGTCTCCACAACACCACTACCCTCAGTGCCTGAGCTTTTCTCCACAACACCGCTACCCTCAGTGCCTGAGCCTGTCTCCACGGCACCACTACCCTCAGTGCCTGAGCTTTTCTCCACAACACCACTACCCTCAGTGCCTGAGCCGGTCTCCACAACACCACTACCCTCAGTGCCTGAGCCTGTCTCCACAACACCACTACCCTCAGTGCCTCTCTCCATAACACCATTACACTCTGAAAAGTGATGAAAATGAATTATGTAGAGCAACAGACTGTGCAATATGCCTTTTATCCACAACTCTAAGTCTACAAGATCCTACAGTAATCCATCTGCCATTCCTAGTATGTCTCTGCGGCAGTGGCTTTGCAGCAGATCCAGCCTGAGTTTGTTTACTGGATAATTTACAAATCTCAGACTTCAAAAATACAATCTCCTGCCCCAAGATAGAGAACTGTCTACAGATTAGACAGCATCCAAATCTCCAAAAAGTGGAAAGTGAAACAAATGCATAACAACTATTACACTCTTTTTTTGTCCTCCTGCATACATCAGTTTACCTCCAGTTTCTCTCCAGAATATCTCCAACCTCACACTTAGAAGCAGCACTTAGATGAAGTAACCAAGCTAATGACAAACCCCTTATATAACCCCTAAAATCACCACCCACTAGGAATGTTTAACACCTGGGTAGGCCTCTGCTTATTTGCAAACAATAGCTAATTAACCAGCAATCAATAGCAAGTAACTAGCTTAATCAAATCAAATGCCTTACCAATAACCAACCGGAATTCAAACCTTGTGCAATCAGTAACCTTTTCCTACAGATGAATCTTACCTGTAACAGTAAAAAGAAAACTTTTAGGAAAATCTTAGACAGTAAAACTCTCCAGAATATCTCCAAGCACACACTTTGAAGCAGCCAAGCTATTTTAGCCAATCTATATATATGAATATATTTTGCAGTGCAATGGTAGGTGCATTTTTCTTCCCCTTCTAAGCCCCCATTCCAGCCCTTCTTTCACACCTCTCCATGTTAAGAGCTGTGCAGGTGTACAATGCATGCATATTGACAACTGATATATAAGTGAGTTGCAATATTATTTAAAAAATGTAATGCATGTTACGCCGTCTTGTTTACATATAGTTAGATTCCTATGCCAATTGTCTATTCTTTTTAATTTACAAATATATATATATAGCTGTAGTGTGATTGTATATGAGAATGATTCTGTCTATGTTAATGTTTTTCCATTTGCAAGTACTTGGTTGGTAGATGGAGCCAGGCTCACACTATTTGTGAAAGAATGTATTTATAAAATATAAAATATAAAATCAAGGCAGCGTAGTCTGCCTCTCCCATTGACACCTGTTACCAAGCTCGTGGTCAGTTGAAGGTGAAGGAGAGTGGGATTTATTTTAAATAAATAAATTTATTATTGTATTTTTTTATTATGAATTATTATTATAAATAATAATTTATTTTTATTATTTTATTCCTCGAGTTAAATCTGTAAATGGAAATGAAACACTCATCAGTCAGTAGGATGTTCCCAGCCCCCAAGCCTCTAAGTCATCATTCTAAGACATCATTATGCAGAGTTTAAAAGTATAGCGAGCGAGAGAGAGAGAAAGAGAGAGAAAAGGGAACAAATCAAATTTCTAATTATGGAGCAGTGGTTGAAGAATACTCAAAATAATGATTATTATTAAACACGTTATAAAAACAGCGCAGGGAAGAAAACCGAAGGAAAAAGAAAAAGGTTTAAAATTTATTAAAATACAATTACAAATACAACTCATTGTTTTTTAAAAAAAAAGCAAAATATGCTACCGTATACAGCTTCAAAATTTTATATACAGTGACTTAATATTCATAAGTAGACATTTAATTATTTTTACTTTTTTAATGTCTTATTTTGAAGCAAGGAATTGACTTATTTTGTAGCATGTGGATCAATTATTGAATGAGAACTTTCCACAATCGTCACTTTATTTTCACTTAAAAAACAAAATCCTTAATTTTAGCTATAGGATGCATAGGTAGCATACATGCTTAGGATGTCATTGCAATTCCATGAACAGATTGCTGTTCAAGCATACCAGAAAAAAAAAATTGTGAGAGTACATTGTGCTTTAATGGCTCAATCAATACAGTCCACAAAAGTGCTTACAGCATGTAGTGGCCCTTTAAAATACTTAAGGGATTATTTACTAAAGTGAGAATTCGAAGTCAGCTCTGCTTTGAGTTTGGCTACTTTGTCTTAAATTTAAAATTTTGAATAACCCTAAGGTCCAAAAATCGCATAGTGATCACTGGATTGCACATGTTGTCTGGTAATTGTGTTTTTTATTATATATCGCAAGCTTGCAGTCAGGACTCTTGAAACTTACCGCTATCGTTTGTATCAACTGCTTCTCAGGTTATACTTTGACATGTAAACGGAGGCAGAGGTGGATGCAGAAGGCAATTACTGGTCCTTAGAATGGCTGTGCTTAACACTATAGTGAAAGATAGGCACAATATGCCTGCAAAGGCAAACAGTGGGGTCAGGCTGGTCAAGGTCAGGATTACAGAAGGACAACTAATAGAAAAGACAGAGTATAAACGTATCAGTGTGTTAGCGATCAGGATCCAAATCGACACATGAACGGTGCAGAGTATTGGCGCTAATATTAGAGCAGGATCCGGCGTCATGATTGACACAAGAAGGATGCACAGTCAGAGACCAGGTACACAGATGGGGCAGGTACTGTGGCACTGCTATGAAACTTGTTAGTGCTACAAAAAATATCTGTAATAAATTATAGTGTAGTTCAAACTAAATATAGGCATGCAGAAATTCCACATTCAGGCAACAAAATTGGTATCTGTTTAGAAAAAAAACAGATTAACTGTAAACTTGCCACAAAAATTGTAAGATCGTTAAAGTATCAACAACAATACGTTTAATTTCTGAACATTATTGAACATATCCTCAAACCACAAATATATCTTCATGTACACATTGAGGTGATCCTTCACACTTAGAACCTGTCCCTTTGTTCTTGTTAATGTTATACTAAAAAACTGTCCATAACTCTGTGGTTTTATTTTTTTTTTAAATCTAGGGACATTTTTAACTATGCAGAACTCTGCCTTGGGCTGTATTATACCTGTTGTGGCAAACATAGCACAATTATTAACTTACCTGCTCCGAGTTTGCCAAGGGAGGATCCTGAATTGTGACTTATCCTCTTGCTTTGGTTTTTTTATTTTATTTATTTATTTATTTTAAAAAAATGAAAGTTCAAATAATGACAGTCATCGTTAGGTGAGGCTATTTTTCACTACGATCTATAGAAAATGAATGGCAGTGAATCGAGAAGATAATTTAATGTATCTCTTCTTGTTATGTGCACCGCTGATGCTTATTTTTTTTTTAATAATGTAACTATATATACAAGCAAACTATGCTAAATATACCAAGGTCTATAGATCTCAATCAAAACATTGGACATCACGTGTGCAAGTAATGTACAATACTATTTCTATTTTCGTGTTCGGTAACTGAAAAGTTCTTTTTTGTTGGACCTGATTTTCTGCTGCTGAATCCTGAGCTATATATCCTTAGTGGGGATAATACTACCTAAGCCAGTTGGATTGAGCAAACCTCATTTTGCTCTGAAGCATGTGAGTAGGTTTTTATTACTTTTACTGTGCTTTACACTCTAATTTTATGGTAGGCACTATTGTGTTTTTTTATTTCTCTTTTATATATTCACAGAGGAAAATCCACATCACCTATATCGTAGAGTGGGGATCAAACCACTTCACGCACTACTTCTGGAGCTAATACTTAGGCTCCATAATATGTGAGTGTACACCTATCTACATACCTACCCCTGCTTATTAGCTCAACGTACTACACTATATACTTTTACTTTGTCTCTTTTATGGGATACCTTAAATAAGGTTTAACTGCTTTTAAAGTCTTCAGTAATAATAAATATGTGTGCTTGATTAAAACGCAGACTGATAATTAACTTTTAAAGAATGACAAGACAGAAACTATTTTTTTTCATTTTTAATCAAATCCTTTTGTCTTTTTTATGAAATCATAAATAGTTCATATTCACTCTAAACACAGAAAACAGTGAAAATATGGACAGATTTAAGTTTTCAGGACTCATTCAAAGGTAGACATACATATTTCTACAGAACAAAGGAGTTTTTAGGCTGCCGAACGGAGGTAAGAGTTAAAAGCAGCTTCTCTTTCCTTAGCACTGAAGCCGGTAAACATAGCAATTTTTTTATTTTTAATTATCACATTTGTTTTTTTGTTTTTGTTTTTTTTTTTAAGATCCATAAAAAGTGCACAACACAGCAAATAAATATCGATTTATATAAATAAATTAAATAAATAAATAGTTCCTGGCACACATACCCCGTAAACCATTGAAGATTAAATTATGGCAGTGGGCATCAAGGGAAAGGCGATGGGCAACAATTAGAAAATCAGATACAATTTTATACTTAGCATCCATATTTAGCCACTTAAAAACCACAATTTTATTTAATTTAATTTAATTTAAAAAAAAGAAACTGTGCATGACATTTTTTTTTTAATATATTTTTCGTGTGAAAGAAAAATATTAATAAATAAAATATTACGATGAAGTGATTTCCGGACATAGATTGTATATCTAGAGCAGGATTAACCATAAGGCGACTTTAAGCAGCCTGGGCCCAGGAGTCAAGTAGGGGACCCAAGAACCATGAATTTGCTTGGTCCTAGTCACCATCCCTATGTGAAGAATCAAGAGGGGCTTCAAACCGGTTTACTGCCTAGGGCCCAGTGAGATGTTAATCCTTTTCTGTAGTAATGGGAATATATATCCATCAGAATACATATTTTAATTTCTTTGTAATGTATTATTTACTGGTTTATACACCAAAGTGAGGATTGCTGGAAACTTAAAGTGACATTTATGTCAAAACTTCAAGCCAAACTTCAAGCTGAAAAACACCTGACTTGAATAATTTTTTTTATTTGACTATTCTGGCCTAAATTGTAAAATTCACGCTGTGAAATTTGTTGGGGCTTTATAAATAAAAACAATAATAATAATAATAATAATTACCATTGATTTTCACTTTAGTAAAAAAAAACTTTGTAAGTGTTGCAAACTTGTTATAAACTTGTTATAAACTTTCTATAATTGTTTACTTTAAATTATGGACCCTTTGAGTCGTGGAGAGTCTGCAACCAACATTCGATGTCTAGGTTAAAAAAAGTCGTAATGGTAAAATTCTCTAACATCAGAAGATTTAGGGAGTAGTTTTTAAAAACTATGGGTTTTATTCGATAAACTAAGTGCAAATATTAGGTCAATTTAGACAAATTGGAAGCATTTTCCAAGTAAATCATTTAGCTATGTTGTCCTAAAATTTGAAGTTTCATTTGGCCCCTTTACTGACTCATATTGAGAATTCACAGCACCTTGAACAAGTTGTGTATCTCTCAACATACAGTACAATGTATATACAATTCTATTTTCCTTCACAATTGAGAAGATCGGTAACTAAATTAGTTTTAGTCCCGTGCCTTACAGTTTTACACCAAGTATTGTAATTAAAATAGTTACTCGTGTTTTGGTAACAGTTCAAATAACGACAGTCATCGTTAGGTGAGGCTATTTTTCACTACGATCTATAGAAAATGAATGGCAGTGAATCGAGAAGATAATTTTAATGTATCTCTTCTCGTTATGTGCACTGCTGATGCTTATTTTTTTTTTTAATAATGTAACTATATATACAAGCAAACTATGCTAAATATACCAAGGTCTATAGATCTCAATCAAAGCATTGGACGTCACGTGTGCAAGTAATGTACAATACTATTTCTATATTCGTGTTCGGTAACTTAATTTTATCTGCTTAATGATCCGTGGGCTCCTCTGAAAAGTTTGAATAGTGAAATTTGTAGATGTTAATAAACCAAAATGTTTCCCCTTGCCTTACTATAGTATGCGGAGGTGGGGCGAAAGGGTGTAGACCGTATTATTATTGAGTTGTAATACTACAAAAATTACCTGTGTTTTTGAATTACATCCCGTTGAAGAATCCCATTTGCTATTGGCATAATTAGAAAAAAAGACAATTAAGAACTAGGATATTTTTTTTCAGCAGACCAAAAACTAATAAAATATATATTGTTTGTTTTTTTTAGGAAAAGAAAAGTGCACATTCTTATTTTTTTTTTTTTAAATATACAAGAGGGAAAGGACTTGTATACGGCAGTCTTAAACCACTTACTGCTAGCATTTCATGTGTCAATCACCTTCAGCTGTGTTCATCTACATTAAGATAATGGATTGGGTCCACGCTAATGGTATAGAAGAGGTTAGAGACCAAGTCTTTACTGGACATGTTTTAGAAAAGCCCAGTAATGGAGGCTTTCATACAGATAATACAGGAAGAATAAACCTACAATTCACTCTTGAAATCCTGCTAGTTTAAAAGGGAGCTATGGTACTGCATTCATTACAGAATGGCACATGTACAGTGCTAAGCACAATGATGCTTCATTACAATGTAGAGTGCAGAGGGGTACTCTGCACTGTACCTTAAGGTGCTACGGTACAGACACACACACTCTATCCCCTGTGAATAGTTCCCTAACATAACTGTTGATGCTGGATTGCAATGAACTGTAATTCCCATCACTCTGATTTAGACACGGTAGTTAAAGTCTGCGGTATCTAGGGTGACTGGGTTTCCTGTTGTACATACGGATAATGTAATGATCTAAATATGGGCACCTGAGGATCTGTACACTAACTTTGATCACATTGAGCAATATGTTATCTGGTCAATAGTACTAGGAGCTACCGTCCATAACTTTTTAAATGTATGTGTACCCTGTAATGTACCTTAATATTTAACTAACAATAAACATGGACACTGGAGTTAGGGGATGCCTAATGAGGGAACACAGTGATGTATCTCGTAACCGTGTGGTAGAGTGATGTACCTCTAAACCTTTACTACTCCATAAAAAAACATCATTCAAACAGTGCTGTATTGGAACAGTGATGTATCTCGTAACCGTGTGGTAGAGTGATGTACCTCTTAACCATCACTACTCCAAAAAAAACATAATTCAAACAGTGCTGTATTGGAACAGTGATGTATCTCGTAACCGTGTGGTAGAGTGATGTACCTCTTAACCTTCACTACTCCAAAAAAAACATCATTCAAACAGTGCTGTATTGGAACAGTGATGTATCTCGTAACCGTGTGGTAGAGTGATGTACCTCTAAACCTTCACTACTCCAAAAAAACCATCATTCAAACAGTGCTGTATTGGCACAGTGAGGGCTTTGTTATTTTGTTACTTAACATTCTTAGCAATCCTTTTTAAAGACACTGTATTGTAAGGTGGGCATTACAGGTTTATAGTATGTTGTGTTGTTTCTTATATTTAGAACAGTACAGTATAGGGGTGGCTAACCGTCCCACTGTAGGTATGTGACCCGTGAATTTTGAGATATAGAGTTTACAGACATCTGCAGTTCCAGAGAGTTACCCATCTCAGGTATATCGAATAGCCAGCACAGACACAAAACCAGCCTCGTTATCAACAGTCTATACAATAACAACCTCAGCTATTAAGTGGATACAGTCTGAAACTTTGTCTTTGTTAATCTAGATATAATTGGCTTGTCACATAATCCTCAATGTAAATTGTGCATCGGACCTGTCCAGAGGTTGATAGACATGCCAGGGTCTTCGTGGCATCCTGTGGGCAGGTGAAATAAAGTTGGTGAAGGCACATTTTGCCAGTCTTTGCCGCTTACAGTTTTAGTAATTCCCATACTTTGTTATAATGTAGAAGTGCAATTTAGACATGACTAGGTCCTACTTCTAATTTAGGAGAAGACCATGTGCAGTGGGTTAATTCTCTAGTCAAACTCTAAATACTCCCGTAGGGTTCTCTTTGGGGTCTTGGGGTCTAAATTGTGATGGAACGTTGAAGCTTTTATGGAGTGAATTTGGGAATGTCACAATAGGTGAATTAAATTAGTAATATTTCACTGCAACAAGTGCCAATTAATCCAATGAAAGCAAGTCTCTTCCGGTCATCATCAGACTTGGAAGAACATTGGAACAGCCAAGTTGGACAGTTTATGATGGACCAGGATCTTTACATTCTAGGTGGGAGACTACAAAAGTCAACGACAGAAAGATTTAGTCCCACTGTAATTGTTCACTGTCCAGAAGATCTAGTTCATAGCTGAAAGAAGCAGCACTTTAGTTAAAAAGGAACTGATTAGAATCAATCCCATTTACCGCCCCTCTCAGGTCTCACACATCTAGAACATGGTTGAGATATGAGATGTAGCAAATGGCCAATCGAAGGATCTCAATTTTGGACAGTTTCTTGTCTGGTGGCAAAGTTGGGAGTAGCTTGCGGAGTTCCGCAAAAGCCAAGTTGAATGCCTCCACTCGGATGCGCTCTCGAGTTGCATGTGCTGTACGGTATTTGGCTGTGGCTCTCCTCCGCCGACGCCTTTCCTCACGACTTAAGTGCTGAAGCTCACGTTTCACCACATCATTGCCATCACAAATCCGTGTTTCTCCACACAAGCTGATAACTCCTGAATCATTAAGACTTCCATTGCCACCGCAATCACTGAAGACAGATTCAGTCTCTGAATGTGCAGGGATTTCCGTCTGCTCCGAATTTAACATCATTCCTCTAATGTGATTTTCTAATAGATTCTCTTCTGGGCTATGCAGCTGTCCCAGATCTATAAATAAAGTGCTTTGAAAGTATACGGAAATACAATGGGTACTCGGGTGTCATCAACAGACCCTGCGAGATCATACAAGATGAGTTTTGCAGGTGACCTTTACGGTTCGGTTGGCAAGAGAGTGTGAAGCTTTTTTAATATGTGATGACAGGATGCTTTACTTGCTTATCCGTTTATATATGTTTTGTTCTTGTGGCATTACCCCTGAAAAAAAACAAAAACAGAAAAGAATGATGAAAATATTCCTTAATAATGTATAGGCAACATGTGTTAATCAATATTAAGCCAGTAAATAATTTTGTTTTGTTTTTTATTAAGAGTGAATAGAAAGATGACTATATAACTTTAGGAATGGTGGGTACAGAGCATCATAAAGTAGTTTTTTCAGATTTCTGCTTAATAGAAGTTTGGAAACTACTAAGTCCATCGTAGATTCTGATTGGCTATTGACATGTTATTTATAGTCTTGTTTCCATAATTGCTGTTTATCTAGAAATTGTGGCATTAAATAAAACATTGAAAATCACCTAACTTTGCCTACCTTACCAAATGCTCCCTACTGCCTCAATATCCCCAAATATACAAGCCACTATCCTCTAAACGCGTACACACTACAAATCCTATCCATACACTACAGCCCCTATCCACATACTTTACATGTACACACACATACTACATCGCATACAGCCCTATCCACACACACAATCCAACAACAACCACCCTCCCACACATGCAATCCTACAAGCATGCCATCGCCCCCAACACAACGCCACAATCAACATTTCCAAAAACAAGTAACTCCACAAGCAGCCTACCCTCAAAGATGTAACACAACAAGCGACCACTCCACAAATGCGACCCGACAAGCAGCATTCCCACTAACATACAAGACCACAAGGAGCCTCCACACACATGCACACACATGCACACACACACACACACACACACACAAACTTCCAGCCCTGTCCCACTTATTATCTGACCACCAAACTAGTCATATTCACCAGTCAATCACACTACTAATACTAGGCACAGTAACATGTCTAATTGAATAATCCAACTTTGTGCGTGTATATATATATATATATATATATATATATATGGGTAGCATGGAGGAAACTGGCCTTGGGGTAGAAAGGAGGGTAAATCCATCCCTAGGTGTACATGTATAACTGGTGTAGGACTCAGGGACAAGAAGTGCAAGTTTTGTGAAAGCAGGCATAAAAATATGCATACAAATTATTAAAAGCTTAGGAACTGTTTTTTTTTGTTTTTTTTTAAAAGCAAAAATAATAATAAATAATAAAAAAAAATTACAAATTAAAAACAGAGAGTTTAAATGTGTCAGTGATTAATAAAATATTCCTTTTGGTGGTTAGTGCTCTGCCTTGCATATTACCTGCGTCATTTCTGAATTAATACAAAAATGTAGAGAAAATATTCTTTATAAAAATCATAATGAGAAGTAAAAATGTAAAATTGTAATGGAAAAAAAAAAAAAGACTAACACATACATAAAAAAGCACTAAAGAATAGACTGGACAGAGAGTGGAAATTTGACGAAGAAATTAAACTCGTCTTCCTGACAATGATATCTTGTGCGGAACATATCTCGCTCCCTCAAACTAAGTGGAACTGACAGGTAGTACAAATGGGGGAAGTAAAATAAAGCACCCAGGGCTGTGACCAGGAGCCTTGGGGGGAAAAACAGCACATTTCATAAATATAGATGTAAATGAAAAAGCATTTTTCTCTCGGGGGTCTCCTGAGAGAGGACAGGTGGTAAATGGATGGGAAGGAGAGACAGAGGGAGGGAGGATCAGAGGAGGAGGAGGGGGAGAGAGTGCATGGGGTCTGGAGGGGGTGTATATTAAATTAGCCAGTATGTCACTGACTCTAGCACCCGAAACATATGGAGCCCAACCCAAAAGCTTTGTGTATCCTCTCTGAATAGGTTTGAGCTCTGTGGGTGTCTCCGTAGGACTTTGGAAAATCCCCAAAAAATGCTTTTTCCTGTTACAACTGCAGCACCAAATCACTTAACCCTTTAAGAGCTAAGTGTTTAAAGGGGAACAATCACTACTCAGGATTTTAATACATTAGCGTTTAATCGCTAACCTCCAGATTGCAACAAATTGAACACCGAATGGCAAAATTTAGGGTAAAACCATCGAACTTGAAAAATTCGCAAACTCAGCTACCGCAATAGTAGCTTAGCTATTTAAGAATAAAAGCGTTTGTCTATATTTCAGCTTACTTCAATTCAGGTTTTAGCGGAATTTAGGAGATGTTTACATGTCCCCCTTACTTAACAAAAATGTGTTTGTTAGGTCTGAAAAATAAAATTACATGTGAAAGTCCATACGGCCTCATATAGGAACTGAGCTCATCCATTTCGACTCAATGTCATTCATTGTTATAAGTTCTGTCCTTTGCACCTGTCAGTCAAGAGAAATGGAGAGAAGGGATGCCAGAAGCCATGTCTTCCATTGCAATGTGTGCCGTAGCTATGCCTTGACTAAACTCGATTGTGATTCAATTACTAAATCTTTAATAAATGTTTCAAAGAAAACAGAACATAATCATCGATTATCGAATTATCGATAATTTTCAATGTTTTATTAAATGGTGTAATTTCTAGAGAATAGACAGCTCTACTTTAACATATAAGGTCTATAATTGCACTCAACCTTTTCCATGTAGATTGTAAGCTCTTGTCAGATCCTGGTAGCCAGGGGCAGTAAAACATCTTAATACATGACTTTTTGGGTTCACTCACTTAACTTTGAATCAGGAAGACTTGACAAGGGATTTGCCAATTTTAGACTAAACTGGAATTGTAGTTGACCTGGTAACTCATTTCTAATATACCTAGCTTGGCATTAAATATCCCTTCGTAAAAAATAAATAGAACTGATTTAGAGAGTAAATTCAGTACAGTTGTTTCAGGTGATTTAAGTATCCGTTGATGTGCTATTCACAAATCCAAAGAGTATTCGGAACAAGTTTAACTTCGGAACTTTTTGTTATTTGAAAACGAATGCTGATTTCGGCGTAATATCACAAATAATAGTGGTACATGGCTGTAAACTATGATGCTTAAGATGCAATACTACCTGTGGTATAGTACTATCTGTATCACTCTCAGAGAAGCATCCTGTCCTGTAACTCTGTGTTAGAATGTTATGCAACATTATAAATAAATAAAAAATTGTTGTGTGGCTAATGAGCTCTGTAGTTATGATCTCACAGTTGTAGTTTTGATTCTAAACGTAGTCATTTACCCTCCAAGGTTAATGAAAGCAGTAAGATTAAGTTGGGTAATGATAAAATCTGGATTCTAGACTGTATTGGAGAATTAGCGAAAACTAAACACACGCTTCATTCATTGATTTTATCGCCATAATTGCCATCATTATTATAATTGTCACGCTATTTGCAGTGCCCTTCCACCTGTCCACTTATCCACGCATTACCAGGAATCCCTGTAATTAAGGGGTTTGCAAACTTGAAAAGTCCCCCCACAATTAGTTCAATGAAACTTTTGGCCTGCTCTGTGTCCTCATTTACCACCAAGAGTATAGAGGCGTTTAAAATCTACGTATGAAATTGGGTTAAACTCACAGAGTTAACACTTTTCCCTGCTGTCTGTGCTTGATGGGAGTTAAAAGTACCTTGAGGAAATGTTCAGTGATTTAGTTCTTATTTAACCTCGACTCTGTACAGTAGCTCTGGGGACAACGTTTAACTAAGAAATGTTAAATCCATGATATTAAATCGGCATGTACCTTAGTTGGCAAGGATCATCCTTTCATATTTAGAGTGTACAAACACATTGGGGTTTATTCACTAAACGCTAAATGATAGAGAATCCAAATTTGAAGGGCAACATTTAGGACAAAACGATATGGAAAAATCCACCATTTGAAAGAAAGTCAATGCTTGAATATTTTCTTTTAAATTTCACAGTTTCATATTTTATTTCACTACAATTCCAAGTTTAGTGAGTAAACCCCAGGGGGGCAGATCAGCTGAATTAAATTGGTCACTGGGGTAAGACAGCCATATTTCAAGAGCAATGACAAGCTCGGTATCCCAGATACCTCTATTCAAATTTATCTGTCTGGTTAAATCCCTACAGCAATCATACCCATGACTTCAGGAAGAAGTCTGTTCACGTATAACGTTTTTTTTTCTAGACCAGAGATACCTAACCTAGGGGTTTCAAGTGCTTTATAACCATGATGCTTAGCCAGTCCTGGATTTCAGCATTAGAACGTAAGCTCTGCAGGCAAGATGCTACATGAAGAATTAGCAGATTAGCTTATGAGCACGTATTTTAAGGCTCAAAAAAGACGCAGGTTACAACTGTCACATCCAGCTAGGTAGCGGGACGCGGGGAGATTAAGAATGCCCCTGTGTTCCCTATTCTGTGCTAATCAGATCCAAATCAGGCATTGTCATTGCGATTTAACACAAGAGCTACTCATGGCAAGTGAATTATCCCAGAGAGAACACATATGTCATCTCTCTCTGTTTCCTTGCTAGTCCACAGCAACATGGGTGTGGGTGGAGGGGAAGACATGATAAATGGGAACACCTATTGTCATGAGGGAAACTGGATTAAAATGTCCCCTCTCTGTACTAAGGCCTGAGAATTCATCTGATTAGGTTTGCCAGGTGCCTTGGATTTCTGGATTTCATTGCTAACCAGTAATGTAATCTTATAGATTGGATTCCAGAGCTACTGAGAAGGGTGATGTGAAAAATACATTATATCATTTTGTCTACATAACACACAATACATCAACTCTCGACAACAGATAATAGCATGCCTGACACAGACAAACACGCACACACACATATATGAACACAACATAAAAACACACAGGTGTGCATTTGTGGATATTTACACACACATATGCACAATTGTGCTTATTACATGCCAAAGGTTTAACATGTTTTACAAAATTTTATGCACAAAAGTAATAAATATATATTGAAAAAATAATAACAGCCATTTAAACAACTTTGTCCAAGGTGTGTACAACATAAATGTAGTAGCTGTCTAAGGTGTGTAAAACATAAATGTAGTAGCTGTCTAAGGTGTGTACAACATAAATGTAGTAGCTGTCTAAGGTGTGTAAAACACATATTTAGTAGCTATGTGCATTGTATTAGCAAACTGGTAAAGAATAATATACAAGACAGCATGAAAGATTTTTTTACCAAATACTAGGGTAAATCCTCAAAAACAGATCTTCAATGTATTTATCCGCAAGAAAAAAAGTTGTATATTTTTGAGAATCTGCATTGTTAATAAATATGTTTTTTTGTATCAGTTTTGTCACCAGAAAGCTTTTAGAATTATACCTGATTTCTATAAATTTATGAAACTAAAGCAAGTTTAACTTTAACCTTCAGGGAAAGTTTAGCAGGCAGTAGTTTAATTAACATACGAGACAAACTCTATCTTGTTTCATAAATCATATCGAACACACCAGATCGTCTAAACTTTTCCTCTTTACTTTACGATTCATCCCTTGTGGCGTAGCTAAGGTTTGGACTATATAGTTATTTTGCTATTATCAACGTCTACGAATAAAATAATATAAAAAAAGAACATATCTTATTATTTTCATTGGGGAATATATAGGACGGTATGGGAGTACAAGATCATTTTTATTCTGATTTATTACGAAAAAGCTGATACGAAAGAAGACTATGTGGACTGGATGTACTTAAATATTGAGTAAGCCAGTTCTATTCCAAGGCTCGTTTGTGACAAATTGGCTATAAAGTTCCAAACTTCTCATTGTCTTTGATGCGATTCTTTGCCCATTAGTGCCGTTTGAAGATCCCCAACTAGAATCTTCAAAGATGTATGGATATGATCAATATAACTACCCTGGGCATTGTTGTTCTGCCTCTCTTTACCAGTATACAACTCGTGGGTATTGTGAAACAAATATTTAAGAGGCGACGAGCTTATGTTTGCTGATTTCTCGATTATAAGCAGTTATGTTGCTCACAAGGGCCGCATTATACAAGTTTATAGTTTAATGAAATGTGCAGAAGGCCAGAAAATATTATATTCTAACCAAGCATACTGGAGGAACGGAACAACAGAGAGAAATCTCATATACCAAAGGCTAGATTATATTTTCGCGGGGAAGTAAAAAAAAAAAAAAAAAGAGGTGGAGGGGGCATTAAGTAGCTGAATTTTACCAATTAAAAAAAAATACTTTGTCTACTTGTTGAAAATAGCATTTGCGCTTAATAATGCATTAGTAAAAAAAACAGCATTATAAGAGCATTTTTTGTACAGTTTTTTTTAAATAAAGTTACATTTATTTGTATCTGTACTTTCACAGCTAAATAGAGCAATATCTTAATAGTTTATAAATATTTAAGCAAAATGATAACAGCTGGAATTGGTTACAAAACAAACAAACTATAAATTATATACCAGCTTTGAAACAAATAAAAATGTAATCAGTAATAATGTACACTATAATGTATAATGCATTATAAACATTATTTCTGTTTGTACTTGTTATGTGTTTTGTCATTGCTATTATTAATGATATTATATTTTCCATCAGAATATTATGTTATTTATTGTATGTAATATATGTTGTTTTTAATATATGTGTGTGGTTCTTTCTAACTAAATATCCTTTTATGTTTGCGATTTGTGATTGTTTTATGTGATTGTTTTTTTTTTGTCTGTGTTTTGTTGTTATACTGCCGTTTTGTTGTAAGCAAACAGTTAAATCCATTTCAACAACAAACACTGACATTTGCTTCCGCACTGAAAAGCAACATATGGACGTATACATTCAATGTATTAAAAGCAGTTTCTATATGTTCGGGCTGCTTAGACACTATTAAATTAATTACTTATCAAACATTTAAGTGCCAGTTTCATTGTTTCTCGTGTCAAAGTGGATAAAAGTTTGAATTCAATTTATTTTTTACTACAAAAAAGAAGCAATTTGTTTTTTGATTCTAGCTTTGTAAGCAATCTCTGTTTCTTTTTCTACATTTTTAAATGGGAGTTAATACATAAAAAATTTGAACTGTTGTTTTTTTCCCCCCATAACTAATCATATTTCTTTCTTTTTTTTTTTTTTTGCTCTGAGTTAATTGACTCTGCTATACACATATTTACAAAAATAAATTAAAATAAATACTTTCATAAAGACTTAATAATACGTTTTCAAATTCTCTGACATTTCACAGACAGAGTTCCTCTAAAAGACACAGCTACACAGTCAATTTAAAGGCTTTTAGTACAACTGGCTGATTTCTAAAAGATAATGTTGATCACAGTAATCTGTACAGGGACTCCCAAGCACCCTTTTAAATGTTTTGTAAGCTGTGGTCCATTCATGAATTGCCCCTGTCCTTTAATCCACTTCCTCCAATTTAGTAAACGATTAACTCGTTACTCTACAATGTGTTTCAGGTCAATCTGCTAATTATATAATGGATTTAAAGTGTCTTCAACTACCCGGAATGTCAGTGATCGCTCTAACAGAGGCTGAAATGTGCTAAAGAATTAAAGTTCGTTAGTGTGGGGTACCAGTCTCTAATCTTGCTAATTAGCTCCATTCAGGGAGCGTTTTGTGACTTTTCCTCTTTTTTTCGCTAGGTGTCTCCTGGTTATATCAAAGAAAATCAAACAAACTCTAAAATAAATTGGGGTGATGGGGGTCACTGTGCCGTAGCATCCTCTATCATCAATATATAGCTGCCTTCACTACAGATCCAATCTAACATGGCAGAGCGAGGTTGGGGATGGAGGAGGGGGTCAGGTCATAGGAGTGTGATAATGTGTTCTGTTGTGGAACTAAATGCATCCGTGTCACAAATTTCTTTCCAGCTGAGGCCAGTAACAAATTCAAGATTCTAATAAAAAAAAAAAATCGAAAAGAACATCAGGTCAAAGCATACAGGAAGATTCAGGGGATTAACTCTTTGTGTTCAGAAAGGAAGGGAAGGTGTGCCCTCCTCATTAACGTGAACAGGTGAATTAATAACAGGAAGGAAAAAGTTACTTGTGCACTATTCCAAATCTCTATGTATGTTTAAATAAAATAGATTTTTAGCACCTTTGCAATTGGCCATTAAAGTGTAAGCTCACCTGCCAACATAAAGCCGCTTTAAGCAGAAAAGAAGATCTGCTAGCTCACCACAGTATGTTTGCATTGCTGTAAGGGGAAACGACACCGTCGGCGCACAGAGGGTTAAACATTTAGAATGTTCCGTTTCCCAAACTTAAATGATCAACAAACTATCTATCCGTCCAAATGTGGATGGAATCCGAGCCTAGCCGCGCTGTTACAACTACATCAACATGTTGCTTTGCTAATAGCCGTCTGTTATTTAACTCTTTGCATGCCAGAGGGGCTTACAAACTTGGACTGTCAGCACGCTCCAAAAAAACAAAAACCCAAAGACAATCTATTGTACAAGAAAAAAAGAGGCAATATTATGGATTTCAGGGATGCCATAATGGTATATTTTTTACATTTGTTATATTTAGAGAAATAGCAAAGCGATATCAGCAATATTAGCAAGCCCTAGCGTACTCGTCGGCCTGGCCAAGGCCACTGAATACATAGCTCAAAGCTGGGGATCCCTGCCTTATATTGACAGGGTGACAGACAGACACACACACCCTCCCCCCTCCAACAAAACACAGGATCGATAAAGTTTTCAGACAAAGGGGTTAACCCTTTATGGGCCAACATGGTGATCAACATATTGCAAAAGCTGTCTGGAACTCAAAATGTATATTATCCCCATGAGCACCCAATTATGAGCAAATTACAATTAGACCAATAGAAAGATAGATGGATAGATAGATAGATGGATGGATGGATAGATAGATAGATGGATAAATAGATAGAGACTTTCTGATAAAACAAATCATATTAAACAATTCCGCCAATTTTTTCTCTAATATTTTGTTAATCAAATGGCCAATTTAATGCAATCCAACCCAAAGCTCTGTGGATCTTGATATCGAAAGTACCAATTGCGCAGAATCACCACTCCTGTCTTAGATCCATACTTAATTTTACTAGTGATTAGTGAATCCACGTGAATTTTAATTAAAAAGCATTAAGCGCAAACAATAGAATTAGAATAAAATTGGCATAAGACGATATATATTACCTTTAAATAACGTTGTCCCATCTGACTTGGTGTTTTGCGTCCATGAATCCTTATGATCGAGACGCCATGACCAGTGATAGTGAACGAAGAAAAGTTGTTTTGTTTTGTCTTTCTTTTTATGATCTTCGTTACCCCGCTGCTGGATATTACGAGGGGGGAATGGTAATTTCAAAGTTTCTTGCCCCCAAAATTGTATATAATATAGTGTTCCAGTTATATTTAAAAAAAAAAAACTAAACAAATGAATAAAATATATATTTTAAAAAATCAGTTTATATATATAGCAGACTCTCAAGCGCAGAGATTCAGGCACCAGGCGTAATGCACCTACACCCATGTGTATAAACTCCCATATATTTATATATAGAGAGAGAAGCATAGACACCACATGAGGGGGATCAGATAGATGTGATTGGCCGTAGAGGAAGCTCTCATCATACATATTAAAGAGCTGGGAGGGGAGTCTATTGGCTGACAGAATGGGAAAGCCCAGGGGAAGGGAGAATGTGTGTGTGCAGAGGGGGGTTGGAGTGCTCCTGTGACTTGGCTGAGGGGCAGAGGGAGGGATGAATGCCGAAAGGACCAGGAGTGTGGATGAAGGGATGGGGACATCTGTTAAACATGCATATTTCATAAAGGAGGAAGACAGGAATGGATAGGAGGGAGTGAACTTAGCAATGATGGCCAGGGACGGTGAATCAGAGGGAAAGTGACAGAAGGGATGAGCTGGAAGATTATAAACCACCCCACGAGAGAGGGAGCTGGGAAACGAGGACAAGAGCAGGAATCATTATCTGAGACTGATTTAAAGCTGACAATTCACAGTCACTATAAGCAGCGCCGTTTATAGGAGGGTTATAGGAGGAGAGCACAGAGTGGGCACCGAAATTACCCTTCTTTAAGTCACTTTAATGCAAATAACATAATGATCCTTCTAGTATGAAATCGCCAACAGATTCGCTCTGTGTTAGAGGATGCAGCAAAGTGCCATAACCTGTAGGCCATGGTTTTTGCAGGCCCAGGGGGAACTATCTGAAACTGGAAGATGGGAAATGCAAGACTAAAATCAGGAATTGCTATTTTTGCAGTAGTTGCAAGGAATAGCCTTCCAGCAGAGGTGGTAGGGACTAATACAGCAGACATTTAAGATAGCAAACCTAGTGATTCCGAGTTTAGAGAATCAGTAGCGCAGGAGAAGGTGACATTTTATATTGAATGCGAGCAAGAAAAAGAGGCCAGAATTTGACGTGGAAAGGAGAGAAATGAAGAAAAAACAAAACCAGCAGAAAATTAATTATTTTACAGAAAGATTTGTAGATGGATGGAATGACCTCCCAGCAGAGGTGGTCAAGAATAACACAGTGGAATAGTTGAAAAAGACTTGAGGTACACACTGCGTTACAGTCCACTGGCCAGGAATTAAATCTGCGCTCTTAATGGGAGAATTAGCAGACAAGATACGCCTATTGACTTTTATCAGCCATTAATATCTAAGCCTATAATGATACAAACATATTTCCGGCGTCTCCAGTTCCACTTTGCGTCTTTTTTATTTTTGTGTTGTATTACAAATTATGAGAGGTTTAAATACACCCTGCGATAGCATTTTTACTGTATTCTATAGAAATACTATCACCTTTGGTAAATACATAAAAGGCAGCACTGTGCCTTTGCAATGACAGAACCATAATACGTTTCCCATGCCTCCAAATTTAAACACCTTACTGCCCGTCACACCTTCTCACACGTCAGTCACATACCTTCTACAAACTATACACAAGGAACTACCGTCTTTCCCTGAAAATAAGACCGGCCCTATTGCATTTTGCGGGGGAGGTCGGGGAAAAACGTGCGCTAGAAAGCAGGTCTATGTTCGGGGACATTCCCCCAAACATAGATCAGTTTACTAAGGCATGGAATCCTGCAAATCTATGTTCGGGGAAACTTCCCCAAACATAGACTTGCTTAATGCGACTAGGGACTAGGGTTTATTTTCGGGATAGGGCTTATATTACGAGCATCCCCTGAAAATACTTTCATGGGGATGTCTAATTTTCGGGGGAAACACAGTACTTACACACACAGAACCAAGTTCATGTGTAAAGAGAAATATGGGGATTTGGTATCAACTTGTGCAATGCAGGTATTCAATATTAGGTAAGTAAACAGGGACTTAGAGCATATTAACAAATGGTATACAAGGTATTTAAACACCTGCATGGAACATCCTCTTTTTATATATTACATGAGATAACAATGCAGGTTAAACTACTAGTGTTTGCATGTATATGGAATTTCAAGGCATTTCAGGCATCTTGTTACACTGTGCATTAATTGATTCTTGTATTACAGGCTTCATAAATACAATTCTAGTAGAGTGAAACATATATAGGGTTACTATAGATGGATCCTAGAACTGTAGGTGGCAACGAGGGTACGAACCATCAAGTGATTAGAGCTATGGCAGGTATTTAATTGGGTCTTTTGCTTAAACTAGGTTAACACTTGCTAGATGACAGTGGTGACTGAACTAAAAGGTTTTATAACTAATAGAGGCAACAACATCAGGAGGGGGGTTGCTAAACATAGATATTACCCTCCTGTGGAGCTAGCCTTACGGTCATTCGGGCAGCAGTTGTGTTCAGTGTCCATATCAATGGCTTCATCCGATACCACAGTCCCTGCTTAACAAAAAAACCCAACTCCGCTGCTCGGTGAGAGGGCTGAAGGGGCTTCGTCACTACCCCCAATTCTTCCGGAGGCACCTCGGGTGGTGTGAGTACAGTCCCCGTGATTTGCCCACCTCTTTTCTTCACGTGCTGGACTGTGGGTTGAGGTCTGTGTTGTTCTTCTTAGTGAGGGGTCTGAGCCCTCGCGGGCGCTGGCAGCGGTAATACAGTGTCAAGGGCTGCTAGCTCGCAGAGCGTCCGTCTTGGTTCCGCCAGGTTGGGGCCGAGTGCAGGCTCTCCGAGTGTGACTCTGCATCTCCGAGTGGTTCTCCGTATGCTTCGGGACCCAGAAAGGTGTCCGGTGAGTAAATTGTGTTGCTTGAGTTGTGGCCCAAGCTTCAGGTCTCGCGGCAACAGGTCACTCAGGGCGTCCTTCGTTGTGTAGGAGGTAGGCGAGCTGAGGCCACTATGGCGTTGCCGGGAGGCCGCCTCTGCAGTACCTGCCGGGGTGTTCACCGCCGTACTCCTTCGGGCCACACAGGTTGGGCTCCGCGGCAGGTTCTCGGGCAGAGCCCCTGACCCTGAGGGTTGTATGCGGGCCTCTAATTTCTCCCAGAAGGAGGCAAAGATTACGTTCAGCCTGCGTTCCATTTTTAGCTTTGTTGGAACTGGCATCGCGGGAAGTATTCGCCATTTTGGAAGTCTCTCTAGAGGTAGATTTAGGGCTCCATGTCAGTTTATCGACCTCACTGCTTAGCTTAGGGTTCGTGCGGGGGTGGACCGGAATAACCCCCAGAATAACCTACCGGTCCAGAGGGGGGGAACACGGGCCCAGTCTCAGGTTCTCAGTTGGATGTGGTCGCGGGGGAGCGGTTGTCTCCCCCACGCCCGCCATGCTTGTAGGCCGCAGAGTAGATGCGAGTGGCCACAGCTCGGAGTGTCGCTTGGATGGTATCATCCTGTTCAGCTCAGTGTCGTCAAGAGCTTGGTTGCCTTTCTGTAGGAAGAATTTGCCGTTTTGTGGGCTAAACTCCGTCTTTGCTCTGGCAATCAACAGGAGCCACTGAGGCTTGCGTCCTTGCGGCTCTGCAGTCAGGCCCCGCCCCCCTAAACATGAGATATAAGTTTGCTAGTGACAGTAGTTGCATTCCTGTATATTCTGCTCTGTGAGATTATTCCTTGGTTTACCTGCTCTGCAGGACTGCTTTCCAGGTGTGCCTGTGTTTGTCTGGGTAGACGCGTAATAAAAAAAGGCTGGTCAGGCCTTCAACCATGCGTAGAAATAAACACAGAAATAGGATCTCTGTCCAGAACATGAGTAATTTAACTGAGAACTCTTCATTCTGTGGCTGCTGAAATTACCTCACTTTGTAAAAAAATACACAAAATGATGACAGCGCACACACAATACAGTTTAACATATTTTAATGCTTTTGTTACTTGCCATTTTAGTCTCTCGTGTTCAAGGTTCTTCTGCCATTCCACCACAATGCGTCACTTGTGGTGTGTAGACATCAATTTTGACACTGGCCTCTCTCTTGACAACTGGCCTTTTTTATACTCCTGACGCCTTGCATCATTTGGCGAATAAACGTGCCAATGCGTGAAGCTTGTGTGTGCTTACCTGTACTTTATGACAGCACAGCATAATAACACCAGGTCCATGCATTATTTAAAGCCTCCTGTCCTAGCTAGCATTGCCCTGTCATGGTCCTTGATGTCCGATAGTACGTTCTGATGTTACTCAAGTGATTTTCGGACTCCTTAACCTTGGCTTGTGTTTGACTTTTCTAACCAGTGTAAGGCTTTGCCATTTCGTCTCCACGGAGGTACTGCATTAAAACCAACCATTCCACAGTTCCCTAAAATGCTTCTGTTCTGGTATTATCTTATGTATTAGTCTTGATTTCAGCTATTCTCTATGAGAATATTCTTACTGTTCTTATATTGATCTTCATAAAATTGCTTGTAAGCTAATATTCCTGCTTTCAATGGTACTCTGTCAGTTAATTAGTGGAGTCCATAATTCAAAACTGTTCATCTAAAGTGGCCTTCTGCTTTTAAAATACTCTGACCCATCTGTTACATTAGCCCCATTGTCAAAATACAGAAAGTGAACATTTGTATTGTGATTCTGAAAGTGGATTGGACCACACATTGGGACTGTTGAAAGCCAGGAGATGTGGAGCACACCTCCAGTTGAAAAGTCCTGGAGTGGAACAGACTCGTAAGAAAAAGCTAAAAGTCCAGAGATACAAGAATTATGTCTGCAACCCATCTGTGGACCTGGTAGGTGGCTTATACTGGTGGTTTGGTCTATTTGATGGGTCAGGCCCAATCAACAACATTGCAGTCAGATCTTGCCCTTGGACTATGGCCGCTGGTGTAGGTGTGCAGTCCAGGGTGCTTGCACGAGTGGGAACAAAAAAATGTGTTGTAGCTTTTAAGATCATATATTTCAGAAAGATTATGAAATCATTCATGGATTAAGAGTTGGTTATCCCATTATACTAATAGATTGCCTAGTAATAATATATAATTTGATCTGCAGAGAATTGCATGATATGCTCCCTAAGTGGGACTTGGATTATTATGAAAAACTGCACCTAGATTTTCTTTGGTTCCATCATGGTTTTCACCGTGCCAAGCAGACTGCCAGGTGTGGACATCACTTTTAAAGGCCTGGCTGCAGGGCCGCCATCAGGGGGTGACAACCATAACGGTTGTCACGGGCCTGGAGGTCCTGGGGGGCCCGGAATGCTTTGGCAACTCTGTCAGGAAATGGACTATAACACCATTACCAAGTTTCCTGAAATTCCTGAGACGTCCTATTTGCCTACCTTTGACGTCGAAGAACCCATGGAAATCGGGTAACCAGAATCAGAAAGTCACCAAAAAAGAGAGCCAGAAGGAGGAGCCATGGACTGTGCTTTTACTGTGGGGGAAAAGGGTCACTTCATCTTTTATTGCCCTGTTCGCACACCTACGCCTCCAGCCCTCCAACTGGGTACTGCCTTTATTCGCCCTATAAGCTATGCATGCCAGCCTGTAAGTCATCAATGATGCCATCATGCCTGTCCGTGCTTGGCCTCCCTGAAAATACCACACTCAACAACAATTGTTGCTCCTGAGGTTCTTGAGTAACCAGCCACTGAAAAACCTGAGACACCGGTTCCTGCATCCGTCCCAAGTTCTACGATGGCGAGTACCACAACCACTTCTTGTCCTGTACATGAACACCTTCCTTCTGACTGTACCTATGCCTCAAATGGTACCATAGTCAGTAAAAAGGATTGAAAAATATTCAAGAAGGCATTGCAAGCCGTGAATTCCACTCCTGCTGATATTTCTAAAAAGTCCATGAAAGTACCTTTTATAATTGAAGTACTCACTACCTGTAGCCGGATCTTTGAAGACCTTAACCACTCTCCAGCTGTACCAGAAGCTGGTACTATGGATCCCCATGCTGTAAAAGGACTCCTCTCTGGGGACTCCGATCTCAAGGAATGTTATACTACAGATAGTGAATCCTACAATGAGAAGTACTACGTCTACAATGAACCTGTTCACGCCCACAGTGCGCTCTTAAAGGGGAGGAACTGTCACATTTTGCACCATGCCAAGCAGATTGACAGGCATGGACATCACTTCTCAGGGCCTGGATAGGATTGAACCTGGATCATCTTCATCCCAGTTAGTGATCTTACCTCATCGCCACTTCCCATGTTCATTCTTCTTAATTTCTCATGCTATGGTATCTGCATTACTAGGCCTGGACTACTACCACACCTGCACATGGTTCCTTACTAAGTAGCTTATTAGCTATCCTTATTTGCCTTGCCTTGCCACTTCCTCCTGGTCAGATTGTTTTGCTATCTGTCTTGGAAACTGTTTAGTTCATCTGACTCCTGCTTTGACCTTCAGAACTGTTTACCGTAGTTGCCTGTTTTCCACCTGCCCCGACCTTCAAAACCGCACCTGACTACTCTATTGGAATTCCCTTGTCTGTTCTGCTTATCCAGGAGGACTTTTCCTGCAAAGCCTCTGTGTGCACTGTTTCATAACCTTGGAGTTTTCTTCCTAGGGTCTCCTCGGTTCGTGTTATACTGCAAGGTTGTGCCTTAACTCATCACTTTGGACTCCCACCTCCACGTAAGACCCTTACAGATTCCTACACTGATGGGTACACGCCAGGAGTTTGGGCTTCAATAAGCAGCCATGAAGAAATGAGATTAAAGGAACACTAATGTTACCCAGACCACTTAATCTCAATGTAGTGATCTGGGTCCAGTGTCTCTGCCAGCAGTACATCAGCAGACAGCAGCACTCCAAGCAAGTTACCCTTCTGCAGAAAAAAGATAGCCTAACTGGAAGGTGACTGCAAATATAACCATTATGACCTGTGTGTGTGGGTGCCTGTGTATCAGTGTGTGTATCTGAGTGTGTTTATGTTTGTGTGTGTATGAACCGGTGTGTGTATCTGCGTGTCAAAGTGTGTTAGTGTATCTGTTTGACAATGTGTGTATCTGTGTGTGAATCTGTTGCCCGGACTGGCCATCGGGCACACCGGGCAAATGCCCGGTGGGCCGCGATGGCCGTGGGGCCGAGGCCGGCAGGGGATCTCCCCGGCCGGCCCCTGCAGGGTGAGCGCTACCTGAGCGCCGGCCCCGCTATGTGCCTCCATGGGCCGGTGGGGAGATCAAAGATCTCCCTCACCAGCCCACAGGCAGGGAGATGCGGCCGCTGGCTGGGTGAGGGAGGGAGGGAGGACCCGGCGGAGCTCTAACAAGCAGCTCCGCCGGGTCCTCTCGCGAGATTCTGAGCGTTGCCGCGGCAACGCTCAGATCTCGCGAGAGTGAACTCTAACCTGCAGGTTAGAGTTCACTCTCACCACTGGACCACCAGGGAAGGCAGCATGGCTCCCCTCCCAGGCAGAACGGCTCCCCTCCTCCCATCCCCTCCCAGGCTAAAGGTAAGAAGGGAGGGGGAGGGGAAGACATAACTTTAAAAAAAAAATTATTAATAAAAAAAAATATATATATTTAAAATTAATTCCCAAACAGCACCCCCAGACACACACAGCCCCCTCACACACAGCACCCCCAGACACATACACAGCACCCCCAGACACACACACACAGCACCCCAGACACACACTGCACCCCAGACACACACAGCACCCCCAGACACACACACACAGCACCCCAGACACACACTGCACCCCAGACACACACAGCCCCCTCACACACAGCACCCCCAGACACACACACAGCACCCCCAGACACACACACACAGCACCCCAGACACACACTGCACCACAGACACACACAGCACCCCCACACACACACACACAGCACCCCAGACACACACTGCACCCCAGACACACACAGCACCCCCAGACACACACACACAGCACCCCAGACACACACTGCACCCCAGACACACACTGCACCC